GATTGCCGCCAGCCCCGACTTCTCCGGGTTGCTCAGGATGACCGACCACAAGGCAGTGGAGACATCCCCCAGGCCATTCGAGGAGCTGAAGCGCATGCGGGGGGTGCTCGCGTCGCCCAGGACCAGCCGCTCATCCCTGGGAGGCTCCGTTGGCTCCACCCTCTTGTAGAACTCCATCCGGTCACGGATCCACTGATTGTACAGCTGCTCCGGGGGCTCGTCCATCACCAGCTGCAAGCATGTGGCCTTGTCTTTGTGCCACCCCGTGATCTGGAGCAGCCTGGCTTGAACTTCTCCTTGCTCACCACTTCCCAGGCACTGATGCTTGGCAAGACCAAGCCACACTCCACGGAGGCCCAAAACACCTGCTTCGTCTCCTTGGGGAAGTGCTTGTTGATGTACTTCCGGCCCGCGACCGCCGTGACCGTGGCCGTGGTGATGGGCGGGTATCGCTGGTGTGCGGAGCGTGGTGTCTGCCCCCCCCAGGACCTTGGCCTTGGGCTCCTTGGCCGCTCCTCCCCCGGGGCCAAAGGCACCCAAGGGGGGGGAGCAACCCAGCTGCCGGATGAGGTCCTGGGAGTAACCCAACCTGTCGTACAAGGCCCCCGCCGCCTCCTGCGGGACCTGCTCGACCCAGTCGTGGACCACGTTGCAGCGCCAGTTGACCTTCACCTCCACCATCGAAGACTTGCTCAGGCCCGCCACCAACTTGGTGTAGACCGAGTCGAAGGCCTTCAGCGATGCCAGCGGGAGGGTGATCCGCTCGTCGCACACCGCCCTGAAACGCAGTGCCTCCTTACTGTCATGGATGGGGGCCACTGGGATCTCCATCACGGGCAACGGGCAGTTGACGATGAAATTCTTGGCCGCCAAACATGTCCCCATCTCCTTGAAGATGTAGCTCCATTCCTCCTTGCTGCGCGGCTTGGGGATGCCCAGGCTCTCCAGGAAGGGCACCGCCTCCTTCCTCATCTGGAGGATGTTGCCCATCCACTTGTCCGAGGTCGAGCCCTCCGCATTGCGGCCCCGGCGTTGCGTCTTCACGATCAACGGGAAAGTGGTCCAGGCCGAGTAGATGTACTTGAAAGTGAACCTGTGGGCGTACACTCCCGTCAGGCTCGGCAGGTCCCACGTTCTCGTCTGTCTGGTCCAAAACACCCCATCACCTTTCGCCCAGAAGATCCCCACCACCTGCTCCGGCGCCGGGCGCTCGCCCCGGTTCACCTGCGCTCGGATCTCCAAGGCCGTGTAGATGACTGGGTCGATGTGGTCCTGCTCGCACGTGAGTGGGTGAGTCCTGCGCTCAAGGGCCAGGAGCTCCTCCGGCGTGAGCTTAAACTGCTGGTCAGCGCCCCGGGGGATCTCACCGCTTGCGTGCTTCTTCCAAATCCCCCCAAACATCCGGAGCTCTCCCTGGTGCCTCTTCATCGCCCAGAGGATCAAGGACAGCTTGCCCTCCTCCGAGTCCAGGTCTTGCTGTGACATTGGCTGGTCCCTCCCGGGGCCAGTGGCCCTCCCGGGGCCAGTGGCATGTTTGGGGGGGGCCGGTGCCACCAGATCGGGCATCTCCTCCTGGTGCCATGGGTTCTGCGACGCTCTGAGCATCCTGATGCAGGGGACATACTTCTCCTTGATGTCCCCCACCTGGGGGATGTCCTCGGGGTCATCCAGCTCCAGGGGGCAGAATAGCCCCCTCTCCAGGGCCTGCCTGAGATCATCCGGCCACGCCGACAATTTCAAGGGCTTGAGTGTGGTTGAGCATCCATGCCTGGTTGGTGTCCTGGGCGCGCTTGTTTGCCGCCTGAGCCTCCTGAATGGAGCCCATCGCCTCGGCCAATGCCTGGCTGGCGTCAACGCCCTTCCCTTCCAAGTACTGGTCTCTCAGCTTGGCCTTGAACCGCTCCAGGTTGACCTTCCTGAGGGCACGGGCTCCCTCATTGGCCACCTCCTCTGACGGCAGGGCCTGCATGCCCTCCTGGAGAGGCGCCAGGATAGCCATCTCATTGTCCAGCATCTCCTCCGTGACCAACTCCTTGTGCCGCCGCCTGGCCGAGCCTCCTCCGAGTCGGTGCTCCCGCAAGGCCTTGTGCAGCTCCTCCTTCTTCCTGATCGCCTGGTCCACCTGGGGGTGGTAGAGCTGGAAGCTCTGAGCCTCCGCCTCCTTCAGGGACCGCTGCACTTTGACCTTGATCTCCTGGCTTTCCCGGACCTTCAACGCCTCGTCGTCCGCCTCCATGGACAGGATCTCCTGCCGGATGTCCACCCGCCTGTTAAGCGGGACCGCATCTGCCATGGTGATCTCATCTGCCGTGTCCGTGTTTGGAGGGGCTCTCCCCAAGACCGTGCCGTCCACCAAGTTGCGGTCGGCCTGTGCCCGGGTACCACCGGGGCCAGCGGCACCCAGGCTTCCCCAGTCCCGCTGCTGGATCCAGGTCGGCTTGCCCTCCACGATGAGCAGGTTGTAGGTGATGCCGTCCGCCTCATAGGTGGCCGAAGGTGCCTGAAAGGGGGCGAACTCCTTGCCGGGGCAGACCCAGCACTGCTTGGCTGCCTCTGGCCACCCCGTGCCGCATGCCTTGCACATGAACTTGTAATCGGAATAGCCTGCATCGAGCCTGTGCATACGCTGGGTGCCAATGCACGCCTTGTTCCTCTGGAACTGCGAGGCCCAGACCTCCTCCTGCCGGATCTGGATCTTCATCGGGACATAGGCCTCCAGGATACGAATCACCAGGTCCTCCGTGAGATTCTTCCCGACAAACTTGTGGAACAGGGAGACCGCCTCCTCCACCGTGATGTCCCTCAGCAAAGTGGCCGCCGACGCTGGAAGGACTGGAAAAAGGTCTGGGAGGTCCACCAGCTTGAAATAACCGGGTCGGCCCTCAACCGGCACCAAGGAGACCGGTTTGTTAACCTGAGCCGTGGTCTTCTGGGAAGCCGCCGCGAAACCCTTCAACCTCTTCGTGGGTGGCGTCTGTGCCTCCTCCGGTGGCGTGGCCCGCTCCGTGACGTCCGCGTCTTCCATGTCCTTGTCATCCTCCTCGGCGGGGCCAGGGGCACCCAAGCCGGAAGTCGGTGTGGCAAATGCCACACGGAGACGCTCCAGTGCACTGGAGAGGTCCTTCATCACATCAGTAGCCGAAGCCGACGGGGGGGCCTCGGGCTCGTCCAAAACCAAGCCGGCCGCCACTGCCGCCTCGCGTGTGCGAATTTCCTCTGGCTGGCCATTTCAACCTCCTCCACGGTGAGTGTCTGGTCCTCAATCAGCTCAAAGGAGGTGGCCGAGGTTGCCGAGGAAGCCATTGCTTGATCGGGGTTAGGTTCGAAAGTGTCAAAGCTCAAATTTTTCAAACAGCTTGGGTTCCAGGAACCCAGACAATGCTTGAGCCAAAATGGCACATGCCATTGTGGTCAAGCATTCCAAACACAGTTCATGTTTCCACATGCGTTTCAACATTAACAAAAAAAAGCCAAAGCACCGAACTCAGAACTCCAAAATCACCGGGCTTCGAGAAAAGCTATGAAGTAGCGGCTGAAAAAGCTCCCTCTCGCCCCTGAAGGTCGGCCTTCGCCAACCAAGCAACACATGTTCATCTGGTCCTTATTGGGTGTGGCTCAAAAGTTAAGAACTTAGTGCAAACACCTGCGTTTGTCGTTGCTTCCATTTACTATGCCACCTGCTAAAAGCAATTCAAGAACTAGTGCAAAAACCTGTGTTTTTTTTAGCCGTTGCTTCCATTTACCATGGTGTTATTTTGGTACCTTTGTGTTGAGCCACGGACCTATGTATCTCTCCATGGCCAAAGAACCAGTTCTCGCCTTCCCAAAAAGTAAGTCCCAGAAACTCGGAGACTGACATGCAGTGAACTTTGCCATGTCAGGGCTCAAGAGATCGCTGTGAATCGAAGTGAGGCGCTCAAAAAGGGAATGCCAACAAGAAGTCAAAGACGTCACGAGCGGAAAAGCTCACCATGGAATGCAACATTCTGGGTGCGTGTTCAATCATGTATAAGGCGAGTTTGAGGGTCCAGGACCTTGAACATGATAAGCGACAATTGAAACATTCGCAAAATCCAAGTTCTGAACTCTGCCTCCCTGTGCGCTCGAGTCGCTAGTGGGGCTGAATGGCACGGATCTAATCTGGGTGTCACATAAGGGTCTGGGAAAAAGACAAACTCATTGGCGGTGTGTGTGGTTTGGATGGGGTACTTTCCCTATTGGGCTTCAACAAGAACAAAGGGTTCAACCCCCAAACCAGCAATCCAAACCAACAATTGAGTACCTGAAAACATAGCTTGTGGCTTCCCTAAACCAAAAACACAATTCTATTTCGAACAAAAGTTCAGGAACCCAACTGAATGATTCGCGCAAATGCTAACAATCGCCATGGTTTCAACGATGGTTTCATTCCGAGGTGCGAAATGGAATTCGCCCATCCACACTATGGGTGATTTGGCGCCTTGGCTTCCAGTCAACTAGTCGATACCTCCTTGCTTGAAACCGTGCCGCCAACGAAAGCTAACCAAGCGTGGCTTGCATCTGGGTAGACAATAACATGTCGACCCCGAAAATACAAACTCGTTTTGCAGGAGACCCCAGGCCAAGCACAGGGAAACACCCCCGCACATGACTCAAACCAAGAACAGGCAACAAAACAGACGAGGACATGAAAGCCACTCCTCCCTCACCTCTTCGCATCAGAGCATCGATGCGTCATGTTTGAGGGTTTCTTGGCCCGAAACAAGCCTAACCCTCAGCCTTCGCCTTAGGCTAATTGAAAGGTGTCACTTTGTGTGACCAGCTCACACTGAGGAAGCATGCGTCACTCGTAATGAAAAGCAGTGAGACGCGGAACTGTTCGTCACATCTCAAGGTACACTTTCCAGGTTGGCTTTCAGGAAAACCAAAGGGAAACTCTCTTTTTTCTGGGAGGGAGGTACCCCATGATTGACACATACCCCCCCCAAATGTTGCAAAGCTTGGTGAAACTTGCTTCGAGCCTCCAGCAAGTCTTCAAGCAAGTCTGCACGCGCCTGTCACGGATGAGCAAGCAGTGTGTGGCAAATTGTCATGGAAGAGAAGTCTGTCCGCTCTGTGTCAATCAAGCCAAGCAACATGCTCACAAGCTGCAAATGAAATCCATGAGAAGCTGACCGTCCAAACAACGTTTGCATCAAAATAGGTGCAATACATTAATTACTGGTGATCCCTTGCTTTGCTGTTGGGATGATGCCAAACAAAACAACTACGAGCGGAAACGGATTTGCCATCTTGAGGGTCCAACAAGTTACTGATCACCCCCACAACCTCCGTTTGCTCTAGTCCCCTGAAAGAAATATACATATTTCCGGCTGATAGATTCCCATCAACCCCAACAGGCACGCATGTACATATACAAGTATAATATGTATATTTACATAACACGATTAAGTGTTTGTTGTCAATGACCACCCCCGAAACTAAGGGAAAGGTAACGGCCCACCCCCAGCCCCCACTTCACTCGAACCCCAGGCAAAGAACCCCGAGAAAGGCTCGGAGCTCAGTCTGAGAACCTGAAATACTTAGCTTTGGGGTCATGGAGTCATGGCTTTGTTGCTTGTGTCGCTCTTTTTTTTATGTGGGGGAGAAGCATCAACTTGTGAAGAGAGCGGCAACTGCAGCAGCAAAGCACGAAGAGAGCAGCAACTGCAGCAGCAGCATGGGTGTGGGTCAACATTAAACCACCAGGGGACCGCAGATTTTAGTCCATGTTTCCTCTTACCAGGGTTCCGTGTTGGGTATCTATTTTGACCCACGGCCGCATCGAAAATAGAGCAACTGACAAGTGCTTGGCTATTCCATCACAATTGCTTTCAAGGACAGACTTTCTGTCTTCCTGTCCGGGTTCTTCAGATAGCCCGAGACAATTGCGAATGAGCAGTGCAACTGGCAAAATGGTTGCAAGCTGTAAAGACGCATTTAAGGCTCACACTAAACAATGGCACAGACACAGACACAGACACAAACACACAGACAAACACAGACACAGACACAGACACAGACAAAAACACAAACACAAACAAACAACAACAACACAAACACAAACACAAACAACAACAAACACAAACACAAACACAAACACACAAACACAAACACACAAACACAAACACACAAACACAAACATAAACAAAAACAAACAAGCAAAACAAACAAGCAACAAACAAACAAGCAAGCAAACAAACAAACAAACAAACAAAACAAAAAACAAACAAACAAACAAACAAACAAACAAACAAACAAACAAACAAACAAACAAACAAACAAACAAACAACACACACATACAACCACACAACCACACAAACACACAAGCAAACACACGCACACAAACACACACACACACACCCACACACACACACACACACCACACGACACACGACACACGACACACGACACACGACACACGACACACGACACACGACACACGACACACGACACACGACACACGACACACGACACACGACACACGACACACGACACACGACACACGACACACGACACACGACACACGACACACGACACACGACACACGACACACGACACACGACACACGACACACGACACACGACACACGACACACGACACACGACACACGACACACGACACACGACACACGACACACGACACACGACACACGACGCACGACGCACGACGCACGACGCACGACGCACGACGCACGACACACGACACACGACACACGACACACGACACACGACACACGACACACGACACACGACACACGACACACGACACACGACACACGACACACGACACACGACACACGACACACGACACACGACACACGACACACGACACACGACACACGACACACGACACACGACACACGACACACGACACACGACACACGACACACGACACACGACACACGACACACGACACACGACACACGACACACGACACACGACACACGACACACACACACACACCACACACACACACAGACGACATACACACACACAGACACTGAGGGTACGGGCTGCTCGTAGCTCCAGCGGCAAAGACCCGCGAGTTCACCCGTGTTTTTGTTGTGAAGATTTGACAACACAGGCCTGGTCCCACTGGTACGTGGTGTGCATCAAAAAGGTGGAACCCCAGACAAGTGCCCTCACGCTAAAAGGTATAATATCCATACGGGCATGTGTCACAACGCAGAGGGGGGAATTCCTCTTGGACATAGGTGGCCTTTTGGAAAAATAGATGGCCCTGGTAAATGGAAAACAAAACACATCTAAACCAGTGCCATCTATTTTAACCAGGCTCACTAAAAAAGGACATCTACGCTCTTGGATATATTCGCTCGGTCCATCGGTCTGGGTTCTGAGCTCCTCTTCGTGGATGCCAACAAAGGACTAGCTGGCACGAGAGTAGATGTCACATGTGTAATGTGTTGTGTTTCTGGGCTTGTGAACAAAGCCAAACACAGCCCGACTGAGATGGTTCTACTACCCCCAAACCACTGGAAGTATCTTGTTTCCCCCAGGGGCAACTAGTGGTTCGAGAGTGGTGGAAATCATCTTAGACAATTCAAGGCCAGGTCCCATCTTAGACTATTCAAGGCCAGGTGTCCGAGAGCAGCCTTCTTATGGCTGTGGGTCAAAACCAATCGTACCATTTTGGGGTAGGTGCACCACCCATTTTAGTCGATTTTAGTGGGGATTGGGATGTTCAACGGGGGTACGGGATTTTGACCCATGGCCATATGATGTTATGATCACCGCTTCGCCTCAAAGGAGAAGTCCAGCTCGTTTGCGAGCGCTGCATCGTCTGCCTAGGGGGCAAAGTGCATGCCAACCCCTGGTGTGCTTGCAAATTTGGCTTTGTTTTCTGCAGCCTCCAACAAACAGAAAAGTCGCCCGCACGTAAACAGCACCCGAGGACAGAACCACCGCGCAAACAACCAGATCGGCAAACCAACAAAACAACCCACAACCCCAATTCAAACACCCACACAAGGTGAGCAGCGACCAAAACCAATTGACTTTGGATTCTACTGACATGGTTAGCAAGGTTTGCAGAAATACGGACTACTCTTTTCGCAATTGAACTAGGTAGTAGAACCACCCACTCCACACATTCGCAAGCGAGATCCAAGCCCCTCCGAAGAGTGACCTCGACCCCAAGTAGAACCACCCACTAGACTCGGTTGCTTTCTGCTCCCCTGCTAAAAGTTCCACTTGTCGTGGTTCAGTGGAAAACCCCAATTCGTTGGCAAAAAGATATAAGGTCCTAACAGCCCTTGGCAAAATGCACCAACGTAAAATAGCCAGTAATCAGTTCTAGGCCCCGCTCTCTCAGAGAGAAGCCATGAGAGGCTTGGGTTTGATTTCCCGGAGCTCCGGTTTTCGAGGGATTTCTCCCAGGGTCCCAGCCGGCCTCACTCAGTCTCCATAACGTGACACACTCAAAAAGCCCCGTAGAATTGTCGTAGCCTCTGGGAAACGTCGGGTTTTGTGGGGGGTATGACATTCTTGGAGGTTTCTTGTTTGGTCTTCTGGTAGTTGTAATACTCAGGGAACATGCGTGCCTTCGTCGAGGATGTGGACTCCCAAAACCGGTTTTCCTCTTGGTTTGCTTCTAAAGCCATACGCAAAAGTACCAACTCGAGAAAGGCACGCCCACATGTTGGGGGAAGCGTCCCTCACACGCACTTCCAAACACCATGGTTAGACAGGCACTAGGGGTCTAGGTGTTGTCACGCCGAACCCTTCTCAAGCATATGTGGCCTCTCCAAGCAGAGCAAAAACCCTGATGTCAAAAACCTGGCCCACATCTGGGGTACGTCAATCAAAAGATGACGCTGTTCCATACTGAGACTACTCAATATTTTTTAGCTTTTGGAGGAGACCCCCAAAAAAAGGCCGCGCTAAGCGGTTGAAGCGGTAAGAGCGAAAGAACCTAAATCACAACTGCTGACTTTTTGTTTACATGTGATGGTGCTGGCGCTCTTCGACCCACAAGGCCATCAACTGAACTCTAAACCCATCTCAGTCTTTCGGGAATGCTCAGTGTCTTCAAGCACCCCGAAACAGGCGCTTGGCAACAAGATTTGAGTCAGTTTTGCCCAATGTAGACCGATTCCTGACACAGACTGACTCTTAGGCATTTAATTGCATATACGGTGAATTTTCGGCAGCACACAATGCACCTGTCCGACAGATCTTGCAGTTGCCAGTTTCCCCGTCCCAGTGGCAGCCCGTGGCTGACACAAAGACCGGCGCGTCTGGGGTCGATCCCTTTCTCATATCCCGAAACCACCTAACTTAAGACATGGGATGAAGTCAAATCGGGTCGATGCCAGTTGGTTTTCCCTTCCTTCAAATGGTGTCGGCTTGCCCCCCAAGTCAAATGTTGTCTCCTTTTTCTTTCCGGATCTATTTCTCCAAAGTGGAAAAGGACGGCGCTGCACCTTGCCGCGATTCAAGCATGGCACAATTGCATTTCTTCCAAAACCAACAAGGGTTGGTTGTTTTAGGAACAAAAACAAAAACAGTTCAGCGAATGGAAGGCTGGGGAAGAAAACAAAAACAACGAAATCTCAGCACAGGGCTCCACTTTTTGGCTACCCCAAGATAGACTTCAACCCAGGGATTCTCCTTTTGGGGGAATGAACCACTGGGTTTAAGTCTACCCCTAGTCAAAAAGTGGAACCATGTCTCAGCAACAAACAAAACAAAAACAACAACCAAACCAAACAAATAAAAAGTCAACAAAATAAAAGCAAACGACTTCACCAAACAGAAGAACCTCCCTATACCGGCTGCCCTCCTAGGCGAGCTGCGGCGCGTTGACGCTTGTCCAGAACTCCAAAGATGGAGGCCATGGAGCCGTCCGGTTGAGGCTGGTGATGCGGGGGGGGTCCGGCAACAACTCTGGGTGTCAAACAGCGGCTGGGAAAAGTTGAAAAATGACCCTCCCTCCAGGTGTCCTTGTGGTTGGAAATAAAGAACAATATGAAAACAAACAATCAGGTTTTTTTTTCAGGACACAAAATAATAAATCAGCTTGAAAACGCAATATAAACCAATAAGCATAAAATATCAATAAATAAACCAAACAACTGTGTATATATATATATATGCGCTATTGTGCATTCAGCGGTGGGTAATGATCATGGTTTCCTTCATAGGAATCCCTACATTGGCTGCCTAAACCTCCTAAGAAGTCCATCATTCCTCAAGCTGTGAGCATCGGCCAGCGGGAAAGTGGAGAGGCCATGCGCGGGTCCATTGAAGTGACAAGTCTGGACTGTCATGCAATTCCCTTGGTGGCTACCGGAGCCTGTGTCGCAAATACATGTCACTTGTGAAACAAGAGTGTGAAATTCAAGTCCCGGACCCCTTGGTGGACATAGTTCAATGGGGAGTCATGTCCACCAATTATTTTGGAGCAGGTACCCCACAAATCATACGGCCGTGGGTCAAAACCATGTACATCTGGTGAACATCAAAATTGGTGGCACATAGGGGGCATTGGCTATGACCCACGGTCATATCAAAACCTCCACTCTGGACATCTGAGAAAAGCTTCTCTGCGTTGCGCTTTCGTTCAAGTACCGATCCGCGGCGTGCTTGAGCCACCAGTCCGGCCGGGCGACATGTCTGAAGCGGAGAACTGATTGGATTGTTTTTTTCAGGCCGGGAAGTCGCATCCGGGTCCTCTTTTTGACTTTGACCCGAAAGGTGTCCTTTTGGTGTCCCTTGAAAGCCAACAAAAAAGGGGTACCCTCCAAAAAACACCTGCTGGAAGCGAGTTTTAAGGTTCCAACATAGGTTCTTCTCACACTCTTTTCGCACCTCGGGGTGTGGAAGCCATTGACCGTACGTCGTTTTGCCTGCGCGTTGGAGATTGCAGGGTCGCGCGTTGTGTCCGCAAAAACTAGTTTTCCTGGTGGTCACCTTTCGGCTTGAAATTCAAGGGATCCTCGTGTTTCCCTGCTCGTCAAGAATATAACATACCACACTGCCCAAACAAATGGGGCTCATATTGCCATATATGTACTGGGGCTCACAGAAAATAGTTGCTTGTCTGTTTCCGTTCAACATTTTAGTCTACCCGAACATATTCGATATGGGTGTCTTACAATCCGGCACCCAACAAATGGTGTCAGTTTTTCCCGTTGGCTTCCCGTGACACCACTCCCAAACAGGTACCCTCAAAAAACCACCGACCCAAAGCACCCTTATCTTGAAAGACCTCCCTTTGGCTCTTGTTTCCCAACCCTGGTTGCAACCCTTTTGAGGTTTGATCGAAATGTGCTGATGTGTCTATGACTTCAAATTGGGACCCAACTCCAAAGTGATTGGTGGACATACATGCTCATAATGCTCATTTGTCCATGTTTCCCTTTGGGTATGTGCCAAATAAAGGGACCCCTAAAATGGGCTGCGGTGTTCGGTTTGCTTTCCCATTCAACCAACCTAAAACAAGATACCCTGAAAATAGACCCAAAAATGACGCACCCTCTGCTCGCCTTAGATCTGAGCTGTCCTCAGATTCCCCGCTAAAAGTTTAACTTTTGGTGGGCTAAATGAACAACTTCCACTAAACACTAAAAGGCTAAAAAGCTAAGGGGATGGCTGGGAGCCACCAAGATAAAAAGGCGCACTAAACGAATACCAACAAAGGGCAGCCATTGGAGAGGCAGCCCACCAGTCACCGCTCCATTCGCCTCCGGAGAGGGTTGGGGAGACTGCAAGACCTGGATGCTGATCGCCTTGGCCTGCCAAGGGATCAATCCAGCTTCCATGGAGACGAATGCGAAATCTGCTCCGCCAAAAGTGACTAACTTGTAGTGGTCTAATACGGAAAACCCCAATTCGTTGGCAAAAAGTTCTCAAGTCCTAAAATCCGGTTAGCAAAATGCACCAAAGCACCCAGGCGCTTTATCCGGGCTTCATTCCTAACATCCGGTCAGCAAAATGCACCAAAGCACCCAGGCGCTTTATCCAGGCTTCATTCCTAACATCCGGTCAGCAAAATGCACCAAAGCACCCAGGCGCTTTATCCAGGCTTCATTCCTAACATCCGGTCAGCAAAATGCACCAAAGCACCCAGGCGCTTTATCCAGGCTTCATTCCTAACATCCGGTCAGCAGGTGCACCAAAGCACCCAGGCGCTTTATCCAGGCTTCATTCCTAACATCCGGTCAGCAAAATGCACCAAAGCACCCAGGCGCTTTATCCAGGCTTCATTCCTAACATCCGGTCAGCAAAATGCACCAGCACCCAGGCGCTTTATCCAGGCTTCATTCCTAACATCCGGTCAGCAAATGCACCAAAGCACCCAGGCGCTTTATCAGGCTTCATTCCTAACATACGGTCAGCAAAATGCACCAAAGCACCCAGGCGCTTTATCCAGGCTTCATTCCTAACATCCGGTCCGCAAATGCACCAAAGCACCCAGGCGCTTTATCCAGGCTTCATTCCTAACATCCGGTCAGCAAATGCACCAAAGCACCCAGGCGCTTTATCCAGGCTTCATTCCTAACATCCGGTCAGCAAATGCACCAAAGCACCCAGGCGCTTTATCCAGGCTTCATTCCTAACATCCGGTCAGCAAAATGCACCAAAGCACCCAGGCGCTTTATCCAGGCTTCATTCCTAACATCCGGTCAGCAAATGCACCAAAGCAAACTCAGGCGCTTTATCCAGGCTTCATTCCTAACATCCGGTCCGCAAATGCACCAAAGCACCCAGGCGCTTTATCCAGGCTTCATTCCTAACATCCGGTCAGCAAATGCACCAAAGCACCCAGGCGCTTTATCCAGGCTTCATTCCTAACATCCGGTCAGCAAATGCACCAAAGCACCCAGGCGCTTTATCCAGGCTTCATTCCTAACATCCGGTCAGCAAATGCACCAGCAAACTTGTGCGCTTTATCCAGGCTTCATTCCTAACATTCGGTCAGCAAAACACCAAAGCACCCAGGCGCTTATCCAGGCTTCATTCCTAACATCCGGTCAGTAAATGCACCAAAGCACCAGGCGCTTTATCCAGGCTTCATTCCTAACATCCGGTCAGCAAATGCACCAAAGCACCTGGCAGCGCTTATCCAGGCTTCATTCCTAACATCCGGTCAGCAAATGCACCAAAGCACCCAGGCGCTTTATCCAGGCTTCATTCCTAACATCCGGTCAGCAAATGCACCAAAGCACCCAGGCGCTTATCCAGGCTTCATTCCTAACATCCGGTCAGCAAAATGCACCAAAGCAAACCTAGGCGCTTTATCCAGGCTTCATTCCTAACATCCGGTCCGCAAATGCACCAAAGCACCCAGGCGCTTTATCCAGGCTTCATTCAACATCCGGTCAGCAAAATGCACCAAAGCAAAACCTAGGCGCTTTATCCAGGCTTCATTCCTAACATCCGGTCAGCAAATGCACCAAAGCACCTGGGCGCTTTATCCAGGCTTCATTCGTAACATCCGGTCAGCAAAATGCACCAAAGCAAACCTAGGCGCTTTATCCAGCTTCATTCCTAACATCCGGTCCGCAAATGCACCAAAGCACCCAGGCGCTTTATCCAGGCTTCATTCCTAAATATCCGGTCAGCAAATGCACCATAAAACCAAACCAGGCGCTTTATCCAGGCTTCATTCCTAACATCCGTCCGCAAAATGCACCAAAGCACCCAGGCGCTTTATCCAGGCTTCATTCCTAACATCCGTCAGCAAAATGCACCAAAGCAACCTAGGGCGCTTTTATCCAGGCTTCATTCCTAACATCCGGTCCTAGTCGCACCAAAGTTACCGGCCCTGAACCTGAGCGGCTTTACTGGTCAGCAAAAAATGAGCTGGCAAACCTAGGCGCTTTATCCAGGCTTCATTCCTAACATCCGGTAATGCAACAAAGCACCCAGGCGCTTATCCAGGCTTCATCCAACATCTGGTCAGCAAAATGTACCAAAGCAAACCTAGGCGCTTTATCCAGGCTTCATTCCTAACATCCGGTCCTGCAAATGCACCAAAGCACCCAGGCGCTTTATCCAGGCTTCATTCCTAACATCCGGTCAGCAAAATGCACCAAAGCAACCTAGGCGCTTTATCCAGGCTTCATTCCTAACATCGCACCCCAAAATGCACCAGCACCCAGCCGCTTTATCCAGGCTTCATTCCTAACATCCGGTCAGCAAATGCACCAAAGCAAACCCAGGCGCTATCCAGGCTTCATTCCTAACATCCGGTCCGCAAAAATGCACCAAAGCAAACCTAGGCGCTGATCCAGGCTTCATTCCTCACATCCGGTCAGCAAAATGCACCAAAGCAACCCAGGCGCTTTATCCAGGCTTCATTCCTAACATCCGGTCCGGCAAAATGCACCAAAGCAAACCTAGGCGCTTGATCCAGGCTTCATTCCTCACATCCGGTCAGCAAAATGCACCAAACCAGGCGCTTTATCCAGGCTTCATTCCTCACATCCGGTCAGCAAAATGCACCAAAGCAAACCCAGGCGCTTTATCCAGGCTTCATTCCTAACATCCGGTCCGCAAAATGCACCAAAGCAAACCTAGGCGCTTGATCCAGGCTTCATTCCTCACATCCGGTCAGCAAAATGCACCAAAGCAAACCCAGGCGCTTTATCCAGGCTTCATTCCTAACATCCGGTCCGCAAAATGCACCAAAGCAAACCTAGGCGCTTGATCCAGGCTTCATTCCTAACATCCGGTCAGCAAAATGCACCAAAGCAAACCCAGGCGCTTTATCCAGGCTTCATTCCTAACATCCGGTCAGCAAAATGCACCAAAGCAAACCTAGGCGCTTGATCCAGGCTTCATTCCTCACATCCGGTCATTAAAATGCACCAAAGCAAACCCAGGCGCTTTATCCAGGCTTCATTCCTAACATCCGGTCAGCAAAATGCACCGTAAACCTGAG